AAGCGACTCTTATTGACTCTCACAACTCTTCTTAATGACTTAAAACCTTTTTTAATTTACTTTATTATTTTATTATCTTTAAATATTTGAGTATAAAAAATATTTTCTAAGAACACAGCGCATGTCTCTTTCATCATATCACACACAATGCGAGTCATAAAGATCAGATAAATGAAAAGAAGGTCAAATATTTTTCAGAGTTGCATCTTGATCGACATTTGAAGAAATTTACACATGAAAAAAAAAGAAAAGATTTTTATCATAATTTTTATTGTACAGTTCATCAACATTATGTGAGATGTGCATAGTAATCATCATTGGCTTATACAGCATAATGAAGAGAATTTTTTGAGATGAAATGAAACTCATGTGGAAGTGATTGCAATGGAGAATAACTTTTGTAATTCTGTGGTTTATCTTTTGGTAAGGATTTTTTTTAAAAAAATTGAGTTTTTGAGCATTTGGTCTTAAAATAGCCATCCAAACCTTCATTAATCTCTAAATGTTGAACCATACTTGAGTATGTTCCAGTTGGGAACCACTACAAGTGCTGAATTAAAGCTACGTGCTATAATTAGACAAATGTAGATAAAATGATCAGATCCAAAATGTTATCATCCCTAGCCAGAGATATAATGATGATGAAATGAAACTATGTATACAATAATATGAAAGAACTTTGTATATATCCAAAAAAAAAAAAATAACAGTCAATAATAATAACAACACCAACAATACACAAAAGAATGAAAAAAAATCATCTCTAAGAAGAGAAGTCGATCCACGACACAGTGGTTCATTCGTGGCAAGGAAATGAGGCAAGAGAAGATCGAAGAAATGAAACAGAAAGGAAAGAAATAAAAAAAAGAGATAAAAGCAGACAGAGAGCAAGCGAACGATTGCCTCGAAAGAAGAAGAAGAAAATAAATTAAAGAAACATAAAAAATAAATTAAGATTATTTTTGTGGGCTCGCTGTGTCTATTGAGTCATTTCTGATAAATGTTATTGCCGCATACTCGTGATTTTTTATAAAGCAATATTATTATGTGACGTAACATTTAAACAAATCGCTTCCACAATGATTTTTTTTCCTTCTCTCTTTTAGCTTTTTTTGAGGCTTTTTTTACGATAACACAAGGAAATTTATTTTTATAAAAACATATTAAGAGTTTGTAAATTGCGTGTGTATGAGATTCAAAACAAAAAAGTCTTTTAGCGGATTTTCCAGAAGGAAGCAACGGCTTGTGGTTGCACTTTTTACTGTAGATCGCATGATGTGATGTAGATTTTCAGAATCTGCAGCTGATCTGTTGTTGCTTTTAGATTTAACAGAAAAATATGCGTTCTTGTCTACATGATTAAAATCAATCCTAACTCTTCAATTCAAATTTCGAATAAAATTAAGAAGAAGAAGAAGCAGTAAAATAGATAAAAGTCACTTCACCTCTTAAAAGTCGTTGATCGGCTATCGTTTCGGATCAATTTCTTAAAAGGAACAAGAAGAAAGAGTCAAAAGAAAAGAAATTAAAATTAGGGAAATTACAATGAAAGCATCATCAAGATTATCGACGACAGACATTGATGATGAAAGGGGATGAATTAAGTCAATAGTAGAAATAATAATATTGATGTTGACGGATAACACAAGAGAAATATTAAGAAGAAGTGTAAATAAATAAAGACGGTACATTTAACCTGAGACGAGAGTCATTCACGTGATACATACTTAAGTGGACATTCAAGAAGATCCACAAATGAATGGGCCTTAAATTGTTGAATTAGCTGTATTAGATTACACATTTTTGTCAAATTTATTGACTCTTCATTTGAATAATGCTCTCTAGTGAAAACGAAGATATAAAACTGGAAAGTGCTATCGACGATTTATTTCTATTGACTAAATTGACTTCTGGAATCTGAGACTTTAGGATTTATTTGTGAATCTTTTTTTATTCAAATCCTAAAACTGGTCTTTAATGGAATCTTTAAATGCTTTTAAATATTCGGGATTGTTGGACTCAAGAATTCAACATTCGACAAACTTGCATTACACAACATCCCAATTATAAAGTAGCTAGTCATAACCAACAAATTCACAGACTTCTCATAAATTTTATCTACATACAAATTCAGTGCCTACCAACAATCATAAAAAACGCACATTTTCTATTCTTGGTAATAAAAAAAATGCATTCTACATTCACTTAAGTAAAACATGTTAATTGATATAGCATGGAAATGAAATTTTTAGTATAGACTCAAAAGTGCACTTAAGAAAAGCCAGAACTATCAGAATGTATGTTCGTGCATTATAGAAAAGATATGATATTGAAGAAATTGTGGGGCCATGTGATGATTTTTTAATTTTATGCTGTATAGTTTTCAAAAATTGTCTGTCAATTATTTTTTGATGGACATCTTGAGTTTCATGATTTAAGAAAGAATTCGCAACGCTAATTGTCATCATTTTGCTTATTTTTCTTAATGATGAACTCTCATAATGCATACTTGATCCTCATTCTAGTCAACAAACTATGAAAGAATGAGAAATCATACATGGAGAGATTGAAGCATTTCACAATAAAAAAAAAGACTCTGAAAAGAAATGAAAGATTGAAGAAAAAAACTGGGCACTTCCATTCACTCATGGTTTGTGTTTTATTTCTTTTAATACAAAAAAAATTTACGATGAGAAATGAATTGTGGCCACTTTAAAAATGTGTTAATTAACATCTATCTCACTCGCTCTCCCCTTTTTTCTTTTTGTGGCCTGTTTTGTTGGAACAAAATTTGAATTTTTTATGAGATGAAGATGCCTGCAAACTGACGATGAAAGAGCATCAATTCAAAAGAAATTTCCTTCTTTTATTTCTCTCACTATATATGGCTTTTTTTATGGATTTATGACCCCATGAACGAAACAAAGAAGACTTGGAGAGGCAAAAAAAAAAGTTGTGAATGAAATTTATTTCGTGAGAGATTTTTCATCAAATCTACAACACATATTCGTGTGGTGCGCGAGCGCTTGAGATCAAGAAATAAGTTGTAGATTTGAATGATTCAATAAAATTTTATTGAAATTGGCGCATTTTGTTGAATAATATCCGGAGGATTGCGCGGTACGATTGCCTGCTGAATAGCTAAATGGTTGTAGATTTTTGAGAGAATTTGAAGAATTTTGAGATCCATGGTTAGAAAATACTTGAAATTGCTTAAATCTCATTTAAAAAAATTTATTTATGATCATCAAATATAAAAAATCTTAATCGATATCCAATAAACCCAAAATATTTACATAATAATAGCTATGCAAATCAAGTGGACAAACTGTGAGTCATGTTTAATAATTTTCAAGAGATTCCACTTCGAACAAAAAATATATCTTTTCAACACTGATCAACTAAAATTATGCAAATTAATTTTTATTATCACTCAAACATGAGATGAAAATGTTGGAACCGTCCAAGGAAGAGAGATCGAAATAGAATATAATAAAATAAAATAAAAAATTCCCGCTAAATGGATTTTTGATGAAGAAATTCCAATGATTGTAATATTCAAGAGAAAAAAATCTGTCCACGTCCATCAAATAATATATCTACAGCTTCTGAATTTATTTTTTTCTCCTTTATCTTTTAGACTCTTCGTTCTGTTATGCTTGAACCGGAATTTTTATTCTCGTTTATAAGACAAAAAATATGTTTATATATCTATACAGTTCTTCATTTATACATTTATTTTTATTTCATTTTATTTCGTTACCATCTCGCTAATGGATGTTCACTGTCGTCTCATTAAATTGATTTGTGTGTGCGAGCTTAATTGGCGGAGCAGTCATCAACAATTATCGTTAAATTGACGAAACGAAAACAATTTTGAAATGCCGATGAAAAGTTTATATGCTTTTTTATCATCTTTTTGAACAGAACTAAGGTTGATGTTGGGGATAGATTGTCTTTATTTTTTTTTTTTTAAATGAAAAAAAATCTCATAACAGCGTTCCTTTACCTTCAAAAAGTCTATTTCAATTCTTACTCATTTTCTTCCTCGTCACTAAAAATCGTCACATATGTCTGAGTATGTATTTGTGCAAGTTTGCATTCTTATACACAATAATTTTTTTTTTGTTTCATTTCGGATATCATTCCTTTGATGTGTCATCCGAAAAATTAAAACTGCTCTTATGTCGTTATCAAAAAAAAAAAAATATCACAAGAAATGAAGGCACAAGTAAAAACACGACAATCCTAAAGCTTGGCAAAAATATAAGCGAAGCACTTAAAATTGAAGAGCGGCAAAATATAATTCAATAAAAGTTAATAATCATTATATCCAAGCCAATTGTTTGTACTTACAATGTTCAGTCATTTTCTCTTTTAAAAAAATAGTCGGAAAATTTCTTTTGATTTATTTGTGCTGTTTTATTTAATTATAATTAAGTGGCATCATGTGTTTAAATTGAATTTGAGCATTAAAAATGTAATGAAAAATAAATTCTTATAGATGTTGAAGATATTTTTGTGTAAATATAGCAAATAGCAGCAAATGTATGATTCAAAAAGATTTATGAAGAATTTTATGATTAAGTGGACGTTTATTTGAAATGATAAAGCAAAAAAGACATCGCAAAAATTCTTTGCAATTTGCCGAATCAAAAGATATCACGGCTTTTTTACTTATATCTCTTAGTACTTTTATGATGTGTCGTGTCGGCAAAATTCTACTTGCTTAATACCACCGTCTAGTTTTTGTCAACTCGTTCCTAATTGCCTGATGTTTAAAAAGGTGCATCAAAAATACTTTTGTCTGCAATTTAATTCCTGTAAATTAACAAAAAATGTGATTTTAATTTGAAAATAATTTCATCCCAAAAAATTATTTTACTTTCAATTAAGATAAGAGCAATGTTCAGCAGCAACAAGAACAAAAGCAAATAAATACGCTCAATTGAATAAGAAGCTGCACCACAAAAAAAAGTATGAACAAAAAGGCGACCTGAAATTGCACAGAAATAAAACTAAGAATAAAGAATAAAATAATAAGAAAAAATTCCATTGAAATTTTGGTAAAATTGGCCTGAATGCTTGCTGTTGTTGCTGGTGCTGCCAATTGTTTTATAAGAATTCCACCATATGAGTTGCCTGATCGACAGTTGAATTGCAATTTGCTACAATTCGAAACAATATAAGCTGATGCTGCTGGCTACAAGTTTTGCTCTTTTTCTCCTTTCTTAAGGCACACAACTGACATTTTTGACTTGCGCGCGGGACCTTTTTGCAAAGACTTGCTTTATATAAACGAATAAACATGGAAAATTCTTTAAAAAGAAATAAACAGAAAAAAAAGACTTGCAATAATTTTCTTCAAATTGATATAAAAAATTTTATGTCAGAAATGAAAAAGGGCAAAAGAGAGCTAAAATTGGCGACATTTTTTTCTGTCTTTACTTCACTCAAAAACGAGTAGGTGATTATTTCGGGTGGTGTCATACAGCGCTTATTTTCAGCTCCTCATTTAGTCACAAAATTGAAAGTTTAAATCAAAATTCAAACAATGATATTTATTAAGGTTCAAATAAGATTTCCATGGCTGTCATCATTTACGAACAACCCCAATGCCATCCAATCTGCCAACAATCAATACCCAACTCTTTATAATCAGCGATAAATTCACTAAGAAGTCATGTCAGGTGTTTCTTGAAAGTCGGCAAAATTTAATAAATCAAAAATGGATGCAATTCCAAGAAGTCAGCCCTGAAATCCTCGTCTTTACTTATTTCAGTCGAAAGATAAATCTTTAAAATAAAAATTCTGTTGTTCAGAAATCTGCAATTATACGTGAATGTCACAAGAGACGAACGACATGACTTAAAAACGCAAAAAATAAAATCTTGGAAGTAAGAAGGAAAAAATAAAAATTATGAAGAAGATCATCCGTCCATAAATAAAAGAGAAAGAAGATCACGTTGTGAATTTATTTTTTTATTTTCATCTTCTATCCGAATGTGACGTGCATTTTTGAGTGGTTTTTGTCAAGAATTTTTCTGTTAAGCCGCTTTGTTTGTAACTCACATGAGAATGGGACATAAGAAGAAGGCAGAATGGGGACTTTAAAGATCAGCTCTGAATTGGAACTAAATTAAATTTCCTCTTCATCTTGAAAGAAATCGGGCAGGAAGTAAGATTCGAATAATTGAAGAGGAAATTGGGAATTAAATTGGCAAAAAGGTGTCTTCTTGATATTATTGGGTCATTTAATTTTGATGGTGCTCATTTATTTGCAGCTGTGTGCTTGCAAGCTGTTGCTTCATACCTAGCATTATACATCCGTAAATGTGTCTTCTTGTTGTGCCTACAACATCATTCATCTTCACCAAATCTGATCTGATTTCCTCAAAAAACGAACTTGTCACTTAATAACTTTCATAAACGTTCCTAACACCTTTCTATTTGTCAAGTTAATTTGTCAAATATTTTTACATGCCTATGTCAAATGAGAAGAACATTTTCATAATAAACATCGCCAAACTGTCTCTTAACCACGCTTAAAAATTACTTAATTTTTCATCACTCATTTTATTAAAATCTCACGCCTTTTACGAGTCATATGATAGGTGAGAAAAATGACTGAATAGCCTCAAATTGGATATGAAAAATAGCACTTGTGAAAGAAGACATCAATAAATGTTTGGATTTATGATTTGATGTTCATAAATAATCGTAATTGGGCATTTCTGTCGCTGAAAATTGTGAGATTTTAAATTTGTCAATGGCATGAGACTTTAACTCTTAATATGTCCAATTTAAGAGACATTCCCACCAAATCATCATCATCATCCTACGGCTTCCAGAACAAAGTCAAAGAAGAACTTATTTCCCTAAAAAAAAATATTAATATTTCTTCAAAAACACATTAACCATATCAGCAGCTTATCATCAATTAAGTCTTACGTTTCAAATTCGTTAATGCATTTTTATTGAACATTCCGACTGATAACACCTTTTAATGTTTCCTTCTTGCCTCTCTTCTTCCAATTCCTTCATTCTCGTCTGCTTTTTAGAAGAAAAAAAATTATTCGTTTTGAATTTTCTGAGCGTATACATAGAATATTCATGAGACGATCTGTCGTTTGCCTTACTTTTTATTCTTCTCTTTTGCTGCCGTCGTTTGCAGCCAGGAGAAATCCCGATAGCAAGATCCATTCTTTTACTCCAAAATCTCTAATTTAATATTTTTAACCGAATGAAGAAAATGAAAATGCATTCATGTGCTGATTGTGGAGAGGCAAAAAGAATGAATAATTTTTTTTTTCTGTTGTTCCTTACTATCAGCTTTTATAATTCTTCTTGATGTTTCTGGGTGCTCTCGGGAGAGTCGAGCAATATAAAAAATAAGTTTGATTTTTATTTGAGATTTTTTGTGGTTGAAGCGATTTTAATGGAAAGTGAAATTCTAAGTTGCTTTACTTGAAGATATCTGAAGCTTGATGGAACTGATTGTTGCCTCTAATGATCACGAATGTGACAAAATCTTTGAGTCAATAATCTAGAGACATACAAGAACATCTAGTACAGAGCTAAACTAGTAGCCAATAGTTTCTATTTGACAATCATTCACTTACAGTTAAAGTTGAATCCACAGTCAACTAATCTGTGAACAAACCCTAGAAGATCATCAAGAAATTGCAGACTAATGTTCCTCACTGATAATCAAAACATAAGCATTGCTACAAATTTGCCATTGCAACGTTTTGTTGATTCCAGTTCTCTTACAACTGCTTGCTGTTGCTTCATTCAACCCGTTCTTCTTTTATTCGTTTTTTTTTGCTTATAAAAATTCGTAAAGGGGATTTCGTCTTTCAATATTATTTTTTTTGTTTCTTCTTAATTCCATAAAAAGAGACGGCCGGCGATAAGAGAAATAACCGGCACTATATGAAACAAAAGCAAAGTGGTCGAAAGGAGAAAAAACTCGAAGAAGAAAAAAAAAGATAACAAAAATTGAGAAGAACAAAAAAATATCGAAGAGAGGAACAAAATTTTATTTATGTTATTCCAGTTTTACTTGCTTTGCCTCTAAACCTTTGAATTTGTGTATTGTGGAAGAGATTCTTAATGTTACGTCTGGTTGTTCTATTACATTGTTTATATATTTATAAATTTCGTCATTTGTTTCTCTTAAAAATTGTGCACGAGGTCGTATAGTAAACTGGAATCTGTGTTTATGGTTGTGCTGCATTTAAATCTCAAAGAATGTAAATTGTAGTATTGAAATTAAATGTATAGGCTTAGTCAAATTCTCACGTCATACTGTACGAGCACTAAAAAAATTTTATCTGTAAATTTATGAAGATGCTGCACGTTTATACGCATTTAAATGACTTGTTATGAAATCTTCTTACTTTCAGTCTTTTTTCATTTTTTTTTTATAAAGAGATTAAATTAATAAATTGAATTAAAGTTAGAATAAGCATAAAAATGGGATTTAAAAGTTTTGAACTTAATAAAAGAAAATAGGAATGAAATGTCTTTAGATATGAAAATTGAAAGAAAACTATTCATTTGAGAGATTAACGGTTAATCATATGGGAACATCTTATATATGTGGAACTTGAAATTGCATGTTTCAAGATGGGAATTTTGAGCATATAATCAGCATATTAGCTGGTAATTTTGTAAATTATCTTGATCTACAAACATAATGCTATGGATCTCTTCATGCTGTGTTCTAGTTCCAACGCGAGAAAAAATTCATCAAAGTTTTCAATTTTGCCTCAAAATTTTTCGAATATCACTTTTAATAGCTTTCAAAGCACATTAAAAATTATGCGATAAAAGAAACTGCTTTAATTTATATCTTCTTTGCTCTTAAGGCGATTTCAAGGTTTGGATATTTCAGTATTTTATGGAATAATATAAAAGTTGCTAGCTTCTTATAAAGAAGTCACTTGAGATGGATTTAAATTCCATCCTTATCAAGCTGTTAAAAATTGATTCTTATAGCTTTCAAATAAAATCGATCATTGTGGATTCTGACCCAATATTTTATATCTTTAGTTCCAATTAAGAAATGCATAAAAAATTACCAAACCTTGTCATCAGCATACATTCCGTTTTATCGACGACCAAAAAAAAAGGCAAATTTCATCGGAATAATTAATTCTGAGATTAAGAAAAAAAGAGGCACAATGAAGCTCTTTTGGCCTCAAAAATTAACCGCGATGTTAATGTTCACTAATTTGTTTTTTCAAGAAGGTCCACAAGTAATCCCAAATTTTATTGACTTCACATTAAATACGATAAATTGAGACTTTTTTTTCACTAATTCCTTTTTCTTCTTTGCAGCTTAATAAATTGGCACCAGTCTTTGACATAGCTAGCAACAGTCAATGCTCTCGGCAGATGCGATTCCTGATATGCTCAACACTCTTTCCATTCTGTTCCGATGACATTTTACAGCCAGTTCTTGCATGCCGGAATGTTTGTGAGAAAGTTAAGAGCGAATGCTCAAATGATCCAATTGTGAAGCAATTCTGGCCTGATTTTTTGGATTGTGAGCAATTGCCACAGAATGAAAAGAGGGATTTATGTCTCAATGTAAGTATCCAGATGATTTTTTCATCACTTGAAACTCAATTAAAATCTTTAAAAACGTCCAGAACTTAATGTCAATATTTTCCACTTAATTCTCATCCGTAGATGCCAAATGAGCTAATCGCAGAAGGATCTACAGCTACTGCATCGGATAGTACAACTGAAATCCCAGATGATGACAATGATGATGACACAAAGTTCCAAATCAATCACATATCTCACTCAACAATTTGGAAAATTATCCAAACACGCAGTCAAGTTTCAACGCTTTCGACCTGTCCAAAGAACTTTACATTAAATGAGCGCGGCAATTGTGTCTATAAATGTGGCGCTGATGCTTTTTACTCGATTCATCAGAAGAAGATTGTTGAGACTTGCATTTTAGTCTTTTCCGTACTATGCTTCATATTTACATTATTTTCGCTTATCACATTTTGGACGGAATCTACGAGATTCAAGTTCCCGGAAAGACCCGTCTTGTTCCTGACATTATGCTACAATCTCCTTAGCATTTGCTATTTATTGAAAATCTTCTATCAAAAATCAACAAATATTCCTGATTATGCTGATGAAATGAATGACTTTAACGGTGGCTTGTCATCAATTAAAACAACAGAACTTGGTTCAGCACAGTGCATCATTAATTCCCAGTGCCTCGCATATTTTATAATAATTAATTATCTCATTTTGAGTGCATCATTTTGGTGGCTCATATTTGGTCTCTCATGGTGGTTAAGCACAGCAAAACAATGGAGTCCTGAAGCACTCGAAAGGAAGTCTGGATTATTTCATGTTTTTGCATGGCTCCTACCACTCGCATCACCAATTGCAGCACTGCTATTTGGTGCAATCAAGAAGACTGAATTGACAGGAATGTGCACAGCAGTTGGATTTACAGAAATCCCATCGTTCATTCTACTTGTCATGGGTGCAATTTTCATCATTTTATCAGCACGATCACTTCGGTCGTTGAGGACATCATGGAAGAATAATAAATTGTCACAAGTCATGAGTCGAATTTTGATGTTTGGCACAATTTTTGTAACGCCAGCCATTGCTGGAATTGTACTCATGTTTATCGACTATGACAACGAACTACCTCCATGTTTACCCGGCGAGACTTGCTATTTGCCCGAGAAGAGATCAATAAACATTACAATTATCAGATATGCATGCCTACTGCTGGGTGGTGTAAGTGGAATATGGGTATGGTCTAAAAAGACATGCATATCATGTCGGAAAAAGATAACAACCGTACAATACTCAAATCCATCGCCACAAACGACAATTGAGAATATAAATGGAATGTCAAATAATAAATATAATACATACAAATATGTCAACTCATTACACAAAAGTCTCCTTAATAATAATTATCATAATCATTATCATCAAAAGAAATTCATTAGTGGTGTACATCGAACGAATCATTATCACATTGACTGGATACCTCCACAGAATCGCATTTAAACATTTTTTTTAATTGTTTTTTCATGGTTAACTCCCGACCTAGGCATGCAGTGTGGGGTAGTTGGTTGTTATTTCTTTAAAAGAAGCAAAAAAAACTCTTTTTAGTCAATTGTGAGGAACAAAATAGAAAAGATCAAATATTGGCGGGTACGGGGCATTTTTAAGGATGTCTTCAATTGAAATTTTGCTAAATGCTTCACAGAAGCTTAGTTGCAGACTTATTTTGATGTAATTCAAATTTTAATGCATGACCATGTTCAGTACCTCCAACAAATGTGAAGCTGTAACAAATTTTCTATCAAAAAAATTGAAAATTGAAAAAAAAAATATGAAAAACTAAAAGATTGTGATCATTAGCGTGTAAGAACACTTTAGGTTTGTAATAATTATATTGTTAGAATATTAAGGACGTTTAATAATAAAAAATCAAGATTTAAAAAATATATTAAATGTGTTGTTTATTGGATAGTCTTCGTTTAATTAATTTCAGCTTACATCGTTGATAAATTACATAAATGGCTCCAACTAGGAACATTGAAGAAAATACACAGAAAGCTAGTAGTCGATTTTCTTTTGATTTTTCACAGTAATTGCATGTTTCGGTTTTTGATGTCGTTACTTCCATAATGATGTTACTTCTGGGATTGCCTTTTTAGCTAATCATATCTGAAATTTTATATTAAATTCGTCAAGCAAGTGATCAAAAATGAGTGACCGCATGAATAATCAAAAGCTTTTGTTTGATTTCAACTTGATAAAAACATTTTATTAAGTTTTAAAGCTCCAAATTCTAGATTTTAACTGTTCTTAATTAAAAACATTAAATTGAAAGCTTAGAGAGCTTTTAAAAGCTCAAAAATATTAACGGTTTTTAAAAATTCAAATTCACAGTTTATATAAGCTTCTTACCCCTCGCACCTCGATTTGTTTACAAAAATTTCAAGAAAATTCAAAATTCAATTTAGAAACAAAAATTCACTAATTAATCACTCGGGAATCAGTAAAAGTTTAAAATAACATCGTCAACAGCCGCAGTAAACAACAAAGTATCAGTTAATAGTCAAATATGAAAAGAAATTGAATAAGTGACCACAGAAATAGATTATTTTCAAAAATGTAAATATTCACAAAGATCCAGTTTAAAGAAGTTCTGCCAGAAAAGGCAATTAAAGGTTTAAGTGAGGATTGTTTTGGTGAATTTATAAAAGAAAAAAATTTGTAGTCAAGATATATTATTATTAAATGGAATATAATACAGATAAAACGATATTTGAGATTCTACCGAGTGAATTATGGGCAATTGTTATTTCATATTTACCTAGAATATCAAGACATTCGCTGTCTAAAATCTATGGATTTCAAGATTTAATTGAAAGTAAGTAAATTCATTTAAAAATTCATAATTTCTGTTATTATTATTGTTTTATTGATTATCTTTCAGGTGTTTCGCATTTAGAGGATAGGAAGTTGTACTATTCACTCAAAAATGGCAACAAATTGCAATGGCATAAAGTCAAATTGTCAAATGAACAGATGCAAAAAAGATTGAAGCATGGATCAGTCAACTTTAATGATCAAATCCTTATTTTCGGTGGAGCTAGTAGCAATTCAATTAATAATTCAGGCATGTACAATGATGTCTGGATTTATAACAATTATACTAAATACAAGCGAATGAAAACTTCCTCAGCATGTCCATCACCTAAATCCGATTTTGGGATCGTCAATGCTGGAAATAAAATGATTGTTGTTGGAGGGAAAAGGTAAAAATTCCTGTAATTTATGTTGAATTTAATGTTTTTGTGGCTCAGTTGAAACTTTTTGGTCAAGAGGAGCTTAATTGTAAAAATCCAGCTTATGCTTAAAAATTGGCGCTAAAACTTTATTTTTCTTCCAGTTCAGTAGGTAGCTCCGTAGATCAACCGTACTCAGGATTATTGAGTGCATTTGAAATACATTCTGTAGATCCAAAAACTGGGGTCTGGCAAAAAATTCAGACGACAGGAACTGAGCCTCAAATTTCTAATGGTAAATTCGTTATCTCTACTTATTAAATTACGGCAATAAATAATGTCAATTGTCAATTTCAGGAATCCGCTGTGTCATGTTATCAAAATTAGAATTAATCGCTGTTGCTGGACTTATACCAATATTCCACAATTGGGATGCAATGAATGCTGAAGAAAATGTACAATATCGAACGAGTTTACATGTATCGCTGTTAAAGTTTACTGATGCATCTCTCGAAAAAGGACATTGGTATGACTTGGCTAACTTCCAAAATCGAAGAGGGTAAGTTTGCCAAATAAAATAATGCTTGTGGATTACTGATTTTATTATTTAAATTTATCCCAACAGATTTCCGACTCCAAGAAACGAGACACATTTAATAAATTTGGGAAATGACTGTGTTTTAATGTTTGGTGGACGTGTAATTAATGGAAGTTGTCAAGATGCTTGGATAATGAAAGTCAATAGAAATCCGTACAGTATAAAATGGGTTCAAGTTATAATTGAAAATCCATTGCTTCCATCTTTACCAACTCACATATTTCCATCATGCTTAATTAATGATTTGCTTGTGTTCACGGGAGTTCGGACTTCCTTATTGAAAAAGCCTGAAATCGACAAACAAAGAAATGTTAATAACAATATTAATAACGTTAATAATAATAATAATAATAATGACGAGTCACAGAAATCTCAAAGTCAATCTCAGCCATCATCATCATCATCAATTTCCTCGCTTAGACGACAAAAGCAGCCTGAAGCTCGTCGAGTATTTATTAATTCTGATCGTCCGCTGCATACAATTGGGACAATGGCAGCATTTTCTGTCGTTCCACAAAAAGTACTTAAAATGCAAGTATCGCCTGATCCTTCACCGCCTCAACCAACAGAACAGCCTAAACGACTCCTTAAAGATTATCCAATGAGAATATTTTGCCTTGATCTCTCAAACATTATGAATTGCAGTGACGAAATGTTACGAGAAAAATTATCAATTAAATGGATACAAATTTTCAACGACGGACTATTTCCGAATGCGCCAGAACTAAGAGCACATGCTACATTCACGCGACTAGATAAAGGACTATTTTTGATTGGAGGTGTTAAACGAAGCGAAACAGAGGACGATGCTCTCTTTACTCAGGCTACAAATGAAATTTTTATGCTTACAAATAGCAATAATCAAACATAAAATAAATCAATTGACAAAATTTAATGCAAGTTACTCTGTTGGGATTTGAATATTATTTTAATTTTGAAGAGGATGAAGGTGATTTGTAAGTTTTTAATGAAATATCTAGCCTTAAACATCGATTACAAAACAACAGAGTGAAGCATAATTTACTTTTCTGACAACTCTTGTTAAGGACTAGAAAGAGCCAACATACTGCATAATAGTCGTTCAACTTTAATATTGGAAAGACCTCTTTATTAACTGCAGTATTGTTGCTCATATTAAGGATTATCGTTAAAATAATGAGTATTACCAGAAAATATTGAGAGACTTTAGCACGTTTTCATGCTTCTTGTTGGATTTCAACATATTTTATAGTGTGGATCATGTCAAGCAATACTATCAAAGGTTCTACTTACCTAAAATTAAAATTGTCACATGATCAACTTATAAGCTCATAGAATATTCAATTGACATTCAGTTCTTCGTTCAAAATTAGCAATTCAATCACATTTTAATTAATAAATCCTTTAAAACTCTAGAAAGCTAGCTTTCTTATTAGATTCGAATGCCTTAAAACTCACCACAGTCTCTCAAATATAAATTCCTCTCTCAGCCCGCATCACACATACAATTACGCACGAATACATACTCATTTTTTTATGATTTTCCTCTCTCGATTACAAAATTTCTTATTAAAAGGAATACAAAAAGTCATTCGTTGAGCACAGTTCAAACTTTTCGGTCATAAAATCCGCGTTATGTGTTCATAATCATTTTTATTATTTTAATTTTTCATTTGTTTAAGTGCAAAATTCAAAAAAATAATAATAAAGTGTATAATAGAGGCAAAGAATTTAATGCAAAATTGGTGTTGCAAAAAAAGTGTTGAGTTTTATGATTTTTGCGGTGCTTTAATTTTTGTGTGAATTAAAAGTTTCTGCTGAAAAGAAAATCAAGAAGATTTTTTGGTGGAAATTTGTAAGAAGATTTTCTTTGGTTCTGAGATTGTGCATAATTTTTATAAGCTTATGAAAGTTCTTTGTTTAGTTCTATCCCAAAAAAAAAGTTATTATTGAAGCTTCAAAGCTGATAAAGCTCAAATTTTTGTTTTTAGAAAAGAAATTACCGAGAATTAATTGTGAGATAATTCAGATCAACGATCAAAAATGCCTGTTTTTCATACGAAAACAATTGAATCAATTTTGGAGCCAGTCGCCAATCAGGTAATTATCGACAGTTTATTTATAAAACAATAGAAAATTTCTTCATCATATCCCGAAAATAAGGTTGGAAAGAAGTCGTCGTCATTTCTTCTTCTTTTTTTTTCGCTATACATTCATATTATAAAAAATCAGGTCCATTTAACTTCACATCCACAATGTCCAATTCCAAAAATAACTTTCATGATGAAAATAAATAACTTTAAATGTGACTCATACAAATGAAAAGTCAAGTAAGAATCGAATAAGACGAAGTATGTACATAGTAGCCAGAAATTTGTGAGCGATAATGCTACACTCTATTCCCACCATGTGTGTCTTATTTTTTTTCTTTTTTCTTTTACTCTCCACACACGGTTATGTCTGTCTTGTAAGAATCTCGTCTTTATATTTCTGTGAAGATGCAAAAATAAATGTATATACACGTAACAAATACAGTAAAGGCATTACAGAACCGTCTTTATATACATAAGTAAAATTTTTTTGATACATTTGTGAACATTTCTTTCTTGTATGACTTTAAATTCCATAAAAGAAAAACATTCTCACAAATAATTTTTTTTTTAAGCTAGAATATGTTATCATAAAGAAATTTGCAAGTTTTTGTGGCTTTAATGCGTGGAAACCCGACGACTATTAAGAAGAAACTTTTCTTTAAAAACATTTGAGTAAATTATTTTAAGAAACCGCAGACAAAATTACATGGAATTGTTGTCGATTTTATATGCAAGAGCATGAAGAAAACATTTGAACTTGTGCCTTGAAAATAAGTTCTACTTGATTATTAAGAAATTTGATAAACATGTATTTCGAAATCTAAGATTCTTCGAGTTCGAAATTTATTTGTTTACATTTTTCCCACTTCAATACTTTGTCTATTATTTTTGGCTTAATGCTCGGTTTATATCTTAATTAGATGATTAGGAAATACTTAAAAACTGTGAGCAAAACTAAAAGCAATGTGATTATCCTTTAATTCAGCTTAATTGATATTAAAATTGCAAATCTTCAATACTTACATTTTTGAAACAATAACAAAAGTTTTCAAGCTCTAAAATAAAGTTATTCTTACTGGTCATCACGGAACAAATTAAATATTAATTACAGTCCTTTATTATGCTTAATCTCTTACCAAGCCATAGCCAAAAACTACTAAACAACTCATTAATCTTCTTCAATGAATGAAATTCACACAGAAACCATCAAGACCTCCAAATGCCTCCCAAAGATAGATACTATAATAGATAATTTCTTTCCGTCCACGAGTCACTTCATGATTAAGTCATTAATTTTCATGCTGTTAGCTTTACGAGGTTTCATGATGCCTAAAATTGATTTTTCCATATTTGATACAACGAATGAATGTCACTGTCATTTAGCTATTGGCACAACGAGTCATTGTTTGTTTTTCGTAAGGTTTGATCTGAGGAAATATCGACTAGCCGTTCATTAGATTCGGAAAATGTCAGAGAATTTATGTAAAGTCACAAGTTACAGGTAAACTGCAAAAACAAAAGCAAGAAAGCAATTCTTGAAAAAACAAAAAAGACGATAATTTTTCAAGCTTTGATTACACATCAACTTTTTATTCATATGTGTGGGCCGATTCGCCCAATATTTCTCCGATTTCTCACTCGCTATATGTATTTGTAGAACGATATGTATGACGTAAGTGGGTTAATTAGTTGTTCTGTATAATTTTCATTTAGGGTAAATGACTTTGAAATTTGCGCAACCTTGAAATTTGCGCACTCGTATGAAAGCGAAAATTTTAAAATTATATCTGAAAATTGCACTTCTATTCAGACGATCAATGGGAAATGTCTGCAGAACACAAGCACAGATGTTTTTTCATAATTTTTAGTGGTCTTAAGGCACTAGAAAGCTTAATAATTTATTACCAAAAACTCCCATACAAAACTTAAATTTCTTTACATTTTGATTTTGAGATGCATGCATTGGTATAGATTAAATTTTGGTATCAGAAAATGTAGATCTGACATTGCTTAACATTTTTCAAATGGTTCCAATTCAAAATGATACCTGGAACTGCTTTAAAATTCATTTTTAAAATGGCTTGTTTTTGAACCTTGAAATTTGCGCAGATTTTACGAAAAATTTTGAAATTTGCGCAGTGAAAAATAAAGGTCCTTACAACTGAAGAAGAAGTCAAAATTGCAAAGTGGTGTATAGATTCAGCCAAATAAGGCGATCCAAAAACTACAGAAGATTTGAAGGAAACTGCTCAAAAATTAAAGGAGCTTGAGGATATGAAAGCTCAAAAATGAATTGACCGAGAAAAAAAGAAAGAATTGCGTAACAAAATTATGAATATTAAAAAGGAAAAACATGAAGCATCAACTCAAGTAATCAGGAAACGTGGTCGGCCAAAAAAGGCAATAAAATGAAGATAGCTTTTAGACTTTATACTAAATTTTAAAATTGAATTACTATGGATACATCATTTTGCTTGTTCCTTTTTGAATTTATTATGTGCTTTTGAACTATTTTGAAACCATTTATCTAGTGTTTTTTTCCACGCTGGAATTTACTCCTAATACATCTAAGATTGTCCTGTTGAACATTAAGCTTTCACGGATTTTCACGAAACTAAATCTAATCATATAATTTGGTAATATACATCATCATTCCCCTTATATTTTAATTAATGTATTTTAAAATTGGATATGGTTTCAACAATATTTTTTCCAAGTTTCAATATTGCTGTCAAAAAAGTGCGCAAATTTCAAGGTTTTTTTGCGCAAATTTCAAAGTTTTCTGCGCAAATTTCAAAGTTCAAACTTGAAAGTCAAATTTCTTGGCATTGACACAGCAGAGCTTCATATATCCATAGAAAAACAAAAATATCAATGATTCCCTGCATTTCAAGATCGTTAGTAGGGCTCAATTTCAATCCTCCGAAGAGCTTGAAGCAAATGAAATTTTCTTGTGTGAATTTGCGCAAATTTCAAGGTCATTTACCCTATTGATGGAATTATGCGCCATGAAAATTATGATTTCATTCTTTATTGCATCTTTCGGCTCTAATTTATGGTTAGTTATTGATTGAAAAATTATAAACTTTATTGATATTAAGCTACTTGATATTATTTTGTAGCTGCTGTGGAAATATTTTGATGAGAATTTCTTTGGAAATGTTTTCGAGATTTGATGTTTTGGGTTTGATTGATATTGCTTTAGTTGAGGATTTAGCAACTTCTGTGGGAGATTTTAGAATGTATCTAGGAAGTATAAGAACCTATTGTAAACAATCTGAATACGCCTCTGCATAGCACTTAATGAAACAAATTAGATCAAGTTTTTGTATGTTGAGTGTTTTTACATTGTTAGCGGGGATAATAAATTGCAAATTAAGCAAAATTACATCATTTTCCATTAATATGATTCCTACAGCCGATGAACAATTCATTCAGGAATGTTCATGCTCATCCAATTCCTGAGAGTCGTTCAAAAATTATAAGAGATTAAAAGGCCAGTGTTTCTCAAGCTTTTCAGGCAACAGAGCAGTAGTTCAGGGGTGTTGGACATCTGGCAGAAAGTAATTCCTAGGAATTTACGTAGAGGTTTACGTAGGCTTCTAGGAATTCCTAGGAAATGCCAGGAATTTTGGAAAATCCTAGTAATTCCTATTATTCCTTGTAAAATCCTACGTAAAAATTCCTAAGAACTACGTAAATTCCTAGGAATTACTTTCTGCCAGATGACCACGAGCCTGGTTGAGCTTTCTTAGTCGTTGACTTTTCCTTTTTAGCAGAGGTTTCAAACCCAAATTCTTAGAAAATCTTTGGCATTATCAATTTTGAAACAAATCCAGTGATGCAGAAATATTGTTTACCACCAGACGCTTTGACAGCCTTACTATTTACATATATAAGCCACCTCCTATTCATCATAACAATATTTTATCCCCTAAAGTCATAAAAGAATAAATCCTAGACATATAAAAAAATTCTGAATAATTCATATCCAAATAGAAAAAAAATCTCATTGACTCACTTTGCATTTCCCAAATGACCAGCAACAATCAAAAATACCTTGACCAAGCCACACTATACATATCTTCATTGTTATTCTTCTTATTTACTCATTCATAATTAAATTCAAAAGTCACATGTTTGGCTACTTTGGCGCTTACGGCGCAACTCCTACACTTTCATTCAACTATAATGTGCAGTTTGTGTCAGTCGATAACATATGATATGGTAAAAAAAATTATGTTTTCAATATTTATGTGGTGTATAAAAAACAGCGTGTAGGCTTTATCGGCAATATGAATATTTTTCGGGGCTTAACATGGCCTTTTATGTCTTACATCTTGCTTCTTTAATCTTATTTACTTTAGAGTGTCCATATAATTGGACAAAAAATGTTTCTCATTAATTTTTCATATGCTCATTACACATGTCCCAACATTTAATAAAGGTAATTGAGTTCAGTAGGAAAAGAACTCCGAAAAAGGGAAAAAAAATTCAGTCGCATTGAAGCAACAGCGTCCAAAAAAATATGTAAATTCCATAAATCTAGTTTGTGTGTCGTTTCGTCTCCAAAAAAAATAATTTCTAGTCAAGAAAATTACGTCATGCTTGTTATTCCATGTATAGGTGTACATATGTCATTGTTGTATTATAGAAAATGCTTTGTTGTTATGACTTATCAGTAAAGTAAATATAAAGGCTTAAAATTACTTTATTATCATTGCATTCGTACGTGAAAATGTCGAGTTAATGGCTGAATTGTGTTAGTTCTGCAGAAATATTGATTCTATTCTTTAATAATCCTCAATCTTTGAGTATATATCCATAAGCTTCTATTTTTAAACTGCACAAATAAAATTCCTAATCAAGCATACAATACAAGATTTATAATACAGTCAGTTGACCATCTGATGATGTCATCTATGATGAAAATCATTCATTACTACCCGCATGACAATAAATTTCTCTTAATTGACTCAATCCCGGAATCAGAATTTTCAATACTAT